CACACACACACACACACACACGGAGCAAGGCTTCGTCTTGCTATCAGATGCTGGAATCCAGGCATCTCTGTTAAGAAGCTATTACCCCCCGCTGTTTCCTTCCTCTATTCTCTCACTTCTTCCTTTTTCCTAATTCCATTCACTGGTTCATCTCTTTTCTCATGCTCAATATTTCAAGTCTTTGTATTTTCCCTATCCTTCTATTTGACCCTCTCTTCTGTCCGTCCTCTCTGCAGTTCGCATTAAGCCAGGTTCAACGTCTCCGGTGGAGTATCAGAGCGACAGCGATGCGGAGAGCGGCACGGAGTCCGGATCGGCCTCCCTCAGCGCCCAGAGCCTCGACGCCGGGTGAGTGGCAGCATTAGAGCATGTGGAGCTGCATCATTATGATGATGATACATCTTATTTGTTTAGCACCTTTCATGCAAGAAATGCTGCACAAAGTGCGTTACAATAAAAGAAGATGGACGTTGAAATAACACAAACAGCTGATATTCGGTACTTAGGCGTCTGAGGCCAGAAGCAAACACAGATCCTCCCAATTTCTCGCCCGACACAAATTCAGGTCTTGATTATAACACAATTAGCATTTTTCAGCCATGTCTGTAAACTCACTACAAACCGTATCTGTGTGTGATAAAGCCCGAAAACTGCCCCAGAAAAAGTTTGGTTGAAGACCCACATTGGTTGGTATCAACCAAATAACAGACCACAGCTGTATCCTGCAGCTTTATGCAGTTCCACACACGGGCAGACGTTGGCAGTAATGTGCAGAAACACAGTGGCATTAAAAGAGCAGAAGAAGAAGACTGCTAGTTGTTGTTTGACAACAGGCAGCTTTGTGGGGCTCGGATTCAACGTGCATCCAGACTTTATAGTTGTTCAGCCTCTTTCTGTTCTTGTTTTGTGTATCTTTGTGGTTGTCTCGTGTCTCTCTGCAGTCGTCTCGTGTCTCTCCGTAGTCGTCTCGTGTCTCTCTGTAGTCGTCTCGTGTCTCTCTGCAGTCGTCTCGTGTCTCTCTGCAGT